GTCTCCCGTGCGTATAGGGCGAAAGTGTGTAAGGGGAGACGGGAATCCGTTCCCAATTTCCACCTACTACCTCCAGCCCCCTTACATTTCTTTCCCCCGCACGAGGCTCGAGACATCCGCTCCTGGCATGGCCGGTAAGAGCCGGGCTCCCGTAAAACCTCTGCTAGGTGGGAGCCCCCATTTTTTTGAAAAACAGGTTGGAACCCTTGAAAAGAAAAAGAAAAAAAAAACAGAAAAACAAGAAAAAAGAAAGAAAATGGGTTCCAACCATCTTCAAGAAGAAAATAGAGCACCTTAAAAATGCGAGTCCATGATCTTTTGTTTTTGAGAGTCCATTCGTCCACGATTCATTTGTCCTCTGATCACTCTTTGCCATGATGCCGACTCGAGACTAGTGTTCTCGCCGAAGAAGCTATGAGATGACTTGTGTGTCGGTGATAACGATGTAATTGCATATATTTGCGCCCCTAGTTCTTATCCGTTTGAGGGGCATAGTCGTGTATTTTTGCCCTATTTTACGCCGGGTTGTGCTATTTTGTCATATTTCAGGTCCCAGGCGTCAAAGGAAAGGCTAAGCACGAGTTTCGGGGCATTCGGAAGTCATTCGGTGGAGCTGGAGCCAAAACACAGGCACACCTAAATCAGAACACGACCGTGTTCCTAGGCCGTGCTTTTACTGCCGAGAGCTGATTTGAGTTTGGCAAACATGAGCTGAAAACACGGGCAGGGCTGAGAAATTACACGGCCATGTCCACCAAAGCACGGCCGTGTCCACCCAAAAGCACGGCCGTGTTTCTCCCAACAGGCTGGCCGTGTAATTAACCCTAGCCAAAGCACGGGAGGGCTGGAGCAAAGCACGGCCGTGCCCTCGACCGTGCTTTGCCCAGTGATGCCCTTTTAGGCAGATTTCAGCCAAAACAGAAGGGGATTCGAGTTTTAGAGAGACAGAGCGATTCCTAGAGAGAGAAAGCGACGAGCAAGAGTTCCCAAGTGCCCTAGCTTGATCTTCATCACCATTGGAGCTTCGCTTGAGCTTGGAGAAGTGCCGATCAACGTCCAGGAGAAGGAATCCATCCTTCACAGTATGAATTCCGCGTCTGATTCTGCTTTTGCTTCTTTCTCCATGGAGTAGTTCTCCCATTCATCTGGGTATGGAGAACCCTAGATTTGTATGTTAGGTCTGATTGTATGAACCCAAGTATTGATTCTATGATTTGATTATATTCAATTGAGGTTTGAATGATTGAATGGCATGAATCCTGATCAAATTCCTGTTGTTTCTGCTTTAACCTAGAATGAGAATATCTGCCTAGGTTGATAGAGCATCCTTGATTGAAGGTAGGGAGTTGGTGACTTTAGTCGAGGAGCCAACTCACTATTCTGTACCGAATTCACTTCGGTAGTGGAGGTTTTGTTGTTAGGGCCTCAATCTGTTTACTCTGGTGGAGGTTAGTCGCCCGCTAGAGACTCAGATTGAGAGGGTCTGAAGACCTTTAGTCGAGACTTCAGGCTGTTTAAGAACCTTCCGCAGTATAACTATCATAGAAACTGAACTTGGTAATTGCAATCCGGCTTAACTGCAGTCTAGGGGGAACTATATCAGGGTGACCTCTCTTAACCTGAATACAACCGTTTACTTGCTTTGTTTGTCTGTTAGTTTAGAATTGCATTAAAGTTTCATTGCTAGATAACAAGAATTCACCGAGCAGTCATCAAATCTAGGACCCGGGTTGACATTAAAACTCAAACCTGCTATACTACGCTTTAGGAAGTGGTTACACTTGGCCAATTTCTAGAGTGACAGTAGAAGTGAGTCAGTCGGTTGACCTCGTAAGCTGCTAAATGATCTAGAAAATCCCCTATCAACGATCGAGGGTGCAAGTTTCTATAGAGGTCTGGAGAGCTGCATTGGTTTGAGTTAGGTTTGCTTGGGGACAAGCAAACGGTTAAGTGTGGGGGAATTTGATGACTCGATATTTGCACATGTTTTCCCCTTTGTTTCTTGATCTTTTAAGCTTTCATTATCTCTTTCTTGGCCTAATTTATGCTAGTTTGTGTTCCGTTGTCACATTTCAGGTCCTAACACATAAAGTGAAGCATAGGCGCAAGTTTCAAGTCAATCAGAGATCAATTGGCGATTAGGGAGAAGAAACTCGGGCATGACCTGAAGAAGAATGGATTTCTACCTCACTTTATGGACAAAGAATCATGCAAGCTTGTCATGAAAAGAAAGAGGACAAGACTACGAGCGTGTGGGATCAAACGGCGACTGATTCAGAGTCCGGACGAGGGAGAAACGAAGCATTGAATATAGGGGAACAAGGTTGGCTGTAAAAATACGGGCGCGCCTAAATCAAAACACGGCCGTGCCCATATTTAGGCACGACCGTGTTTTGGCCGACGCGCGCGGGCGGGTTTTTAACACGGGGCAAAACACGGGCTGGCAAAACCAAAACACGGCCGTGCTCTCGACCGTGTTTTGCCCAGAATCGGGTTTTTTAACCCAAATTCGAGCCAAAGGAGAGGAAGAGCTGGGTTTTGGATCCCAAACACCCAAGGGACGAACCAAAGAGAGAAAGGGAGATTTGAGGGAATTCTAAGAGTGGAATTGGAGGATTTCTTTGCCTTGGAAGCTCGAGGAACAAGCCTGGACTTGAAGATTGATCATCTGAAGATTCTTACTGCAGTCTCTCTCTTCTCTATGGAGTAACTTCCCTTCACTTAGGTTTTGTGGAACCCTAGCTATGTTTGTTTGATTGGATGATTGTATGAGTACTCTGACTTGATAATCTTGAGTTCATATTCAATCTATGTATGTTTTCATGATTCAATTATGCTTTAGTCGAGATTATTGATTCTGCTTTGATCCTATGAGAGGGAATACCTGATTAGGTCAATAGAGCACCATAGATTGATAGTAGTGGATCGATTGCTTTAGTCGAGGGTTGATTCACTGCTTTGTATCGATTGAGAACCTCTTTCGATAGAGGGAGTCTAGTTCAGAACGCCTTGATCAGTTGTTCTAGAGAAGGATACGTCCCTCTAGACAATTGACTCAAGAGGGCCTTGTTCCTTTAGTCGAGACTCAAGGTCTAGTCAAGGATTCTCCGCATTGTGAATGAAAGTGAAACAAGTTAGAAATCATCAATCGTTAGTCTGGCTAGTGGCTAGGGGGAATCATACCTAAGTGAGTTCCCAAACTGTAATTAGATTAACTTTAACTGTAGTTTGCTAGAGTAGTTTTAGTTCTTTCATCTTAACTGGTTTGCTAAATAATAAACTGAAGCTGAGTAATAGTAACTCTAGAGACCCGTGGATTCGATATTTATCACTTGAGCCACTATACTGTAGTCCCTTCCATTGGTTACACTTGGCCATTGTTAGGTGTTGTGTCGTAGCGAGTCAACACCACAAATGATAATCAACTGTAACATGCTTATGACATGGGAGGCTTCTCTTCAGACGTACAAAACTTTATTGCCAACAAGTCACCCAATATCTCTAATCATCCAAACACAACAACCAAGAAACAAAAAATCGAACTTGAGGTTACTAGGACCTCACCAGTGTTTTTAGATACTAGAAATAATTTCACCCTAAAACTTGACCAACGGGGCCAGAACAGTCATTTATTCAAAAGATGTGCATCTCATGAACACTCTGTCCTATCATATTTCTACCATAAAGCTAGCTCATAAACATTTTCAATTCAATCGATTCTCCACATAGTGGGTCGCCATTAACTTGTCTATAGGTCTTTTACTTTGGTTGTAACATGCTTAGGGTCTAGGACATGTGGAATAAGGTTTTTCGGGTGATGGAAGAAATAATAGCTTAAGATTCCACAAATACTAAATAGATAACCACATAAAACCACAAGTTTCTTTGCTTCCTCTACTTTTGAACTTCGAGTTGCACAAGCAAAAAAAGGAGGAAAGTTTTGGAATCTTATGAGTTCGCTTAGTCATTGGGCATGAAGAAGGACTCCTTTTTACTGCACGAAAGTTGTGGAAGCTCTCTTATTATTATTATTATTATTATTATTATTATTATTATTATTATTATTATTAAATTATTATTATTATTATCATTATTATTATTATTATTATTATTATTATTATTATTCATTGGGAGCGTAGACATGAAACCACCTTTTGAAATTTCAGAGTAACACTTTTCTTTGAAAACTTCACTCCAAAACTCTCTTTAAGATGTAACAAAGTATCATGGTAAAACCAAACTCATAGAACCTTGAAGGGTGATTCAAATGATGAAGCTCAAAACAGCAAAGGTTGGTTCTATCACTGATAAGGTAATGACTAAAGAAGTAGGTAAAGGCTTAATGGGGTTGACTAAGGGATAATATTAAAGGGTTGGTCAATTTAGGTCATGGGCTATACCATTAAGCATAGTCATCATGCAGAAAGAAAACTATCAGAAATGAAAGAGACGAGCATGCACAAATCTCACATGACTTCCTAGTTGCTCGGTCTTGCATGCAAATTTCTCAAGCACCATGCCTAACCAATCAAAGATTGTGATTGACAAATTCTAGTTCTCATGCAGTTTTTCCATCAAAGGAAGAGTGACACCTAACACATGCATACCACATTCAAAATCATCATCATAGGCAAGCATACATCCATATCACATAACTCATTCATCAAGTCAAAAGATTCACAAGAAGATGCTCAAATTATTCCCCCCATGATTGACATATTTTATTTTGGGTTAATATATTTGTATGATCTCAACTTTGCACATAATAAACATCCTGGCCAATCTTTTCGATTTATAACATCATGGCCCAAACTATACGTAAAAGTTACGAAATTGGCCAAACCTGATGTTTGACCGTTATCTTAGACGGACATATGCGTTGACTAACGGTCAACGCGCCACATCACTGCCAAGTCAACACCTTTCACTTAAAAGTTTTGATATTTTCCACCTATTACCATTTTTGTTTTTCATTTTGAACATAAAAAAGGAAAATTAATTCACATCTTTGGGTCTTCGGCTCCGCAATCACCCATTGTTTCAAATGCCTTTCCACATCTAGTTGCCAATTTCCACACCTCCAACTTTCGATTCCTGGCATAGAATTCGTTCAGAGCATCGATTCCCCCATCCAGAACTGTCCTCTTCCCTCCGCTAATCGTCTTCGTCCCCATCCTGCGCCCGCCGAACACCTCCAAAACGGCGCCGTCCCTCCTCCTCCACCACATTATGATTATTTCTTCTTGCTGCAGCACCTTCACGTCCTTCGCCGTCCGGCAAACGGAGTTCATCAAATCGGCGTACCGGTAGAGGATGTGGCTATTTTCTGATCTCGCCAATGCCTCTTATGCCACCAGATTTCTCATCATAAGCTTGCAATTGGTTCGCCTAGCGCCCAGGAGTTGATTCCAGCCATCCTCCAGCTTCCATCATGGCCGAATCGACCCCAATCGCGACGGCTGTGGCTCCCGCCATCGGAAATTTTAAATTCCCCAGAATCCGGCGATACAAACCCAGATTCCGCCGAACCCAAATCGAAATTGGGTATTTTTGCTCTCGGCTTCTCCTCGTCCAATCGATCGATCCTCGAGCTTCCTTGGACGATTTTGAGCTTGTCCACAGTCGCCAATAGCTTCGAATCACACCCAAACTACCCAACCAATTCCTCCACACTTCCTTCCTCGTTGGTCACCTTTGGAGGCAAAATCGGGTCTTTGGGATTCGCCGATTGAACTTGATTTGGCTGGATTTCTTCGACTTGACACGTTTCTGGGCAAATTTGGAATGTGTCGGCGAAGTCCTCTCGTTCCGACCTTACCTCAGCTACTCCACCCAATTTGGTGGGATTCAAGGCGGCTGGAAAACAGAGCCGGCGACCTCTGCTTCTCCGGTGGACTGTCTTGCCAGCAAGCACAGTCAGTAGGTACCTCCTAGCCAGCAACTGAGCCTCGGAGGCTTCTTTCTTTGATCCCTCTTCATCCTTAGTTTGACTTCATGCCATATGCTGCTGGTCGGCGCGAACTTCCTCCGACGACAGAGGTTTAAGAACCAGTTTCCTTCCTCCGTGCTCAAACATGTACTGGTTTGTTCGGCCTGCATCGGAATGACATCAAAGAGAATTTCGTCCCGATACTTCCCAATGGAGAATGGAATTCGTACTTGTTTGTTTACCTTGATCACAGCGTGATCACTGAGCTAGTGTAGAGAATATGGTTCAGGTCGAGGGGTCATAACCAAACCCAATTGTTTCATGACGTCGAGGCTTGCTACATTGGCACAACTTCCCCCGTCAATGAACACCGTCAAAATTTTTCCTTTAACCTGGCATCTAGTGTGAAACTGGTTACTTCTCTGGTCCATCTCAGAGGAATCCTCCTCCTGACTTGCCAATGCTCGACGAACCACAAACAATGGTCCCTTGTCCGCCTCCATCTCTTCCCCTTCTAACTCGCCTGTTGGCTGTTCTTCAGCCTCCTCTTCGTCGTCTGAACAATACTTCCCATCTCGGAGTACCATTATCTTATGGTTAGCACACTGATGCGATTTGTGCCCATAATTATGGCACTTAAAACAGCAAATTGTGCCACTAGAATTGTTCACCTTCTCGGGAAGAGTTGTCGTAGTGTTCCTAGGCATGGTTCGAGGGGGTTCAGGTTTTAATTCAGATTCCAAACTTGGCTTGGTAGTGTTGACTGCTGGAGGGAACCTCCTGCCAGACCCCTGTTGTTTCAATTGCTTCTCAACCTTGGCGGCAAGCTGGACAACTTCTTCAATTTCTACGAATGGGAAGAGCTCGACTTGGTTTTTGATTTCCCTTTGAAGGCCTTGCAAAAACCTGCTTATCGTAGCTTCCTTGTCTTCCCTAATGTCAGCTCGGATCCTCAGGAGATCCATCTCTCAGTAGTACTCTTCAACGCTCCTGCTTCTTTGATGAAGCAACTGCAGAGTGTCGTGAAGGTCGCGTTGATAGTACGAGGGCACAAACCGGTCCCTCATCAAGATCCTTAACTTCAGCCAGGTAGCTATGGGTGGTAGCCCAATTCTCCTTCGCTTAATGCGAATTTGTTCCCACCACGCCGCCGCGTAACCTTCAAACTCATAAGAAACAAGCTTGATTTTCTGCTCGTCGGTGTAATTATGGCAATCAAAGAACAGGAGCACCTTCCGTTCCCAATCCAAATAGTTAGAGGGATTGAGGCTACCCTGAAACGAAGGTATGCTCAACTTGATTCCACAGAGCTCGTCAAGAACCCCTGTTTCTGGCGGACGTCGATAGTGATTTTGAAACTCACGATTTCGTTCACGATGACCATCTCCAGCGAGGATCAACTGGGGCTCCAGATTTTGAATTCGTGCTTTCAGAGCTTGGGGGCTTTGATCGTCTCAAGGGACTGTTTACTGCCTCGTCGACGTCTTGGGTTCAGCCGTCGTTGTCGCCGTCGACGACCTCAACTCGGCCAATTGCTTGTTCATACTATCGAACTGTACTTGGAACGTGGTGTTCATCTGCGCCATTATTGTTTGCAGCAACTCCGTTGTATTAATTTTTTCTGCCATGGTCGATTCTTGAATTTCAATGTCCTCGTCGCACTCAGAATAAGATTCCAGCTCTGTTTCTTAAATTTCCGCAAATCAATTGGGTCTTTTCTTCTTGTTCGAGCTGCAACAGGACGAGCGTCCTCCTCCTTCTTCTTCTTCTTCGTCTTGGTCACTGCTCTGAACCAGGCGATGATGCCACTTGATAAGCCCTCGATTGGCTTAACTCAGAATCACGCAGCGATGAAACAACGATGGATGAATTTGGGATGAAAATCGATGGAACTTAACGAACTAAATCAGCAACTTCAACACAAAAAGGGAAGAGGATAATCTAGGTAGAACTACCACGAGATCAAGAGTGAATATCCTGATCTCTAGGTCTGCAATTCTCGGCCAAACAACGAAGAACCAAAAGCTCGCAAGCTGGAAAACTCCTCGGAGTAATTTCAATTAAACTTCAACATGTCTTTTTACAACTCAATGCGTGACTATTTATAGCCAAGAACCCTAATTACAATCCTAAACAAACAATGCAACAATTCTGAATCAAACAAGGAAAAGAATACGTTGAAAACAATTAAAACTTGCATCCCAAGTCACTAACTTCTCTCACAAGCTAACTGCCCAAAACAGGCTTTGATGTCAACTTGGTGGCTCTGGAAATCAACCTTCTGGGTTGAGTCGAGCTCAGCCAATTCCTTCCCTTGATTTAGAAAGTTTTACTCTTTCATTCCCAACTCCAAGCACCAGCTGGTCATGCTCCAATCGTCGTGAATTCAAGCTCAAAGTTGGTACCTCAAGCTGTCTCCCTGCCTTAGCCAAAAATTGGCAATTTCCAGAATGTAAGATAGGTTTTTGATGGCCTTGAAAAACAATCCTCCTGACCTTCTTTCCACGACCTAAATGCATCAAACTATACACAAACATCCAGTGTTGAAAATAAGACCCTAACCTTGCATTTCCAGTGAATGGTTTGAGAGAAACATCCCGCCAAAGTACCCTTCCCAAAACTGTCTCAACACTTAGGAAATTTCCAGCCTTGTTCGTATTAACTTGACCCGATCTTTGAACGATTTGTTTGAGTTGATTCAGGGGTGGAATTGAGATAATATCATCATATTTGTCAACAAGGCTGTTTTAACTCCCACAATCCTGCTTGTCGCAAAACTGAAGCCTTTGTTACTATTATTAACATTGACCTGCAACATTGTGTTAGGCCTAGCCCGCGTTGCCTTCCTTTGTCTCCCACAAACATGCAACAACATTTTGGCTCAAAACCATCCTGTTTGGCAACCACACAAGGAAAACAAAAAGGTGGTCACAATAGATCTGCAAAGCAGCTTCGAACTTCCCCGCAATGCTGCTTAATCTTTTTTTAATAATATTTTCCTAGACATATTACATGGCCCACATGGCCCACATTTTATTTATCTTAATAATAACTAAATAAAAAAGGTTAGACTTTGGCATAAATCATCACGCCAAATGTCCATATCCATTGCGAACTCCACGAATTAAACCACACAATCCATTCGTAAAGACCATGGCTCATCGAAGTTGGCTTTACACACGATCGAGAAGTTTTGAAATCGATGTCCTATTGTTTTTCAGCTCGTCTAGCTTTAACGCCTTTGTATGAGACCCCACGAGCTTGATTTCGCTGCATCTCAGCCATGACTTCAAGTTGGTGGTATGCAAGATCACCAGTGTTCTTCACCCTACGTAGGACATTCGGATTATTTGGCGTCTTTTTCTTGCTAAAACGACCATGTGGCATCGACTGTCGTGACATGTCTGGTTTTTTTAGGTGCACATCCTAACCATGTTGTTGGGAGTGCAAGGCTCGAGGTCTACGAGCTTCACCAACACAAATGTGAGTATTGAAATCTTGATTTTTGCACCTATCACACAACTTTGCAACATTTGAGCTCCTACTTGATTTTGGAGTTATTTGTTGGGCATCATGCTCCCCCCCTCCCCCCCCCCCCCCCCCCCCAATCCACCATTCATGGCAGACTCTCTTAGCACACACTAGTGTGGCAACTCCATGTCGTGCTCGATTGAGCTTGCCCCCCAGTCCACTCAGTCAGTGGAGTCTTTGGGGACCCTTTACATGGAGGATTCTCTTGATTCATGCAAGCTTTGGTGGTATTGGGTTCTTTCACGTGGCTACTACCCCCACACTGCAGAGTGTTTGTGGTAACCCATCTTTGAATTTTCCTAGCACATAGTGGATTTGGCAAACTTGTTTGCCAATTGCAATGTTGTATTTCTTTCAACCGGCCATGCGGTGGGATCTCTTACCCCTCGAGCGGTATAGAGAGAATATCATTGCAATGTTGCTTTGACAACCCATCATATGTGAGCTTGCTATGCTCAACGTACTTGTGACCAGGTTCTCCATCCTGTTTCTTGTTTTCAATCTCACTAGAATTTAGTCGATACAGATGTTTTTGTAGTGGCTTCTTGAAGCCAATTCCAACTTGTGTGTCCTTAAGAATAACGTTGTTCACAGGAAAAGACACGTTGGGCTTCTTGTCTTCTGGCAACAATGTTGTAGCCAGACGCAACAGACATGGTTTCAGATTTAAACACATCAAAAGCATATGTGGCTCTATGTATTGACATACTAAAATCAGAAACACAGTCATCCAACTTATCAAACCATCGATCTTTTTTTTTCAAGATTATCCATTTTTTTGTCAAGAGAAGTTAAAATGAGATTTACCTGTTGGCTATCTCTGCTGAGTTC